GTCTAATCTGACATTAAATGTGGGGGCTGGCAGCCCAGCCTGATACAGGGAAGTGAAAGCTTAATGATCCTTGAGCTCCCTTCCATCCCAAGCCAGTCTATGAAGATCCTATAATTCCCCCAATTCCAGTCATAAACACACGAGGATTGGGCCAAATCTCTGCCCCGTGGTGTGCGTGAAGGATCATCAATACAGAGGACAACGTCGGATGGATAAAGGAGGTATTAAATATGGAACACACCCCCCAAGAAACTTCATTTTTCTTCCCCACACCATCAAATGTAACATCCGTACCTGGCTTTGGCACTGAATTGATGAGAGCCTCAGGAACATTCTTATTAATGAGTTCCACGCACTCCCCTGGGAAAAATCCAACCTGTAGCAAGAACAAAAAGAGAGGCCAACTATTGCATGCTGCATTTCTCAGGTCTGAACTGTTAAACCAAAATCCACATAACATTTCCCTCGGAACGTGCTTGCCTGACACTCTGTAAAACTATCCAGCAGAATATGGCCTGCATAAAGGTAATAATTTTTCAACATTTGCAGCCAGAGGCAAGGTCCTCTGACACTGACACAGGGAAACCGTTTACGTCCGTTAGGCATCCTGTGCAGGCAGAGCAGCTCTAAGCTGAGTTTCCTGCCTTCACTTAAGTTGCACTCTCCAGTCTGAAGCTTGTGCCTACCTGAAAGCCGTGCTTGCCTCTCCACCAGGGGGTCTGCTCCTTGGGGGGCATATCAATGACACACACGATGTCTCCCACCTGCAAGAGATTGCAACGTCAATCCCAGCTTCAGCACGGCTGGGAGGAAAGCACAACTCAAATGACCGCATTCTTCTGCACTGCCAAACATCGCCGAGCTTGAGAGCAATTGCACCAGTGCAGCTCTGAAGGCATTTGCCGTTGTACAACTGAACTTGGAGGTAGAAGAGTCACTACGTTACACAACATACAGAATACAGCTGTGCAGTAGGAAATGGTTCTCAACAGCAGCAGGGTATGGAAGAGTTCCAATTAAACCGCACACGTAAGGTGGCAGGGTTTCCTGAACAGATCTACACACTCCATATGCTGGTCTGCTGTTGCTCAGGGACCAGGCTACAATACTGGGCAGTATCTGTTTGATCAGAAGATTCAGAAGCCAAATAAAGCCATATTTTAGAGATGGCTGAACTCCTCCCTGCATCCAACCCGGTGCAAGTCTGATCTGGAACTGAATCTTCTGAGCTTCGTCTCACAAAGCATTCTGAAGGTGTCTGAGAATATTCCTTATGCATTCACACCTTATACTCTTCTGTACAGGACAACAAGGAACGCCTTTAACTGCTTACCTCAAAGGAGAGTTCATCCGCTGCCTGGGCAACGTATCTCTTAACAACATGGGCAGCAGCAATAGCTGGAATATTCACAGCTGACTCCTCATGGACCAGCAGGGGCTTCCCCTTGTTCTCAGTCTGAAACAGAGAGCACAGGCCACGGTGAGGAGCGGAGAACAAATAGGGAGGATTTCAAGGTGAGGAGCACATCTGCAGAAAAAGCTGCAGGAAACGCACTCGGTCCTTATCATGGGCACATAAGAAGGAACTGCAAGTCTAATAACAGCTGTGTCTCTTCCTGGTGTGCAGCAGGCACACGCCAGGCAATGCAAAGATGCATCTCTCCCTACCCAGACTAATCAGCAATGGCACTGACGCAGACAGGTGGCCTTGTCCATTTTGCCCCATCCTTTCCTGCACTCTTTGTCCAGGAAGGTTGACTCCTTAAGATGCTAGGAGACCGTGAAGAGGGAAACGAAAGCTACGGCTGCAGTTACAAGGTGCAAACAGTGCCATTGCAAGCACAAAGCAGCTCTCTTGAGCAGCTCAACCAACAGTGAGGCCAAACAGGAGCAGAAATGT